TGTTTTATGTCTATGACTGAGAACTTTTCTCCTCCCGAAACGCTTGCAAAACATTCTTCTGTAGTTGGTAACGGGTGATGTTTCATTTCCAATAGTTTGTTGACTGCTTTAAAGTCTCCACATATTCTCACACCGTCTCCTTTTTTCACTGGCATAACTGGAGTTCCCCATGGGCTCTCTTTGACTTTCTTCAAAATTCCTTGTTTCACCATGTTGTCTAACTCCTTTTCCAGTAAGTCTTTAATAGCAAAAGGTACTGCTCTTGATTTCTGCGTGACAGGTCTGCTTCCCTCCTTCAATTGGAGTTGCACTTTATAGTTCTTTACCAGACCTAACTCATCTTTGAAGATGTCACTAGACATTATCTCTTGTACTGTCCGTATCTTTGTTGGTGTTCCAGGATCTGTTTCATCGTCCACACTAACAAAATTTCTCAACTGATGTGTTCCAGGAGCAGTCTCTTCGTCCTCACATCGTTGTCCAGTTTTAAACTTTCTCTTGGCGGTATCTGTCACTGGTTCTGATTCCATAACTCCCAACACGTTCACTGTTCGTACTCCTTCTTGAGTCCCAGGAAATTCTCCTTCGTGTGCGCTACAGTTTCCATCAGTTCTCTCCAGTTCAACCTCTTTTGTTGGTCTCTGTCCAACTTCTGCTGTTTGGCCCTGTGTTCTCGTTACTAACTTTTCTAACCAGTTTTCACCACAAAACTCTGTAATCCAAGAGCGTCCAAACAGTGCTGGAAAGTGATTATCCACCACATACAGTTCCAACCCTTTCACAATCTGGTTGTTTATCGCCACTTCCACAACTGCTTTACCGCATACCTGCTGGTATTGACCATTCGCCACACGCAGTTGTTTATCACTACTTTTCAACTTAAACTCCACACCAGCTTTCTTCAGCATCTCTCTACTGCACACAGATACACTTGATCCACTGTCAAACTCCATCAGACACTCTCGGCGATTGATCCAAACCTTGATCAGGGGTCTAGAATCACGCAAAAAGTTCACGTTATCGAAGTAAACAGTGTTATCATGCAAAAACCTGTTATCATGCAAAATAATGTTATTGTCATGCAAATCAACATGCGAATCATCATGCAAATTACTACCATACAGAACACTATTATCATCATCCTGAATTTTAGAATCATCAATACTTGTCAGGTTGTTGCCCAAATTTGAAGATTTTTGAAACAAAACATTTAACTGGTCATCTAAACTTACGGATTTCTCCGACAATTCACAATAGTAAATATTTCGACTCACAAACTGTTCTGTGTCCTGGTTTGAATCGCTGTTTGAATCGCTGTTGTTGCAGTCTGTTGATACATGATGTGTAGATTTACCACTCTGTTTCCAGGACTTGCGTTTCGTCTTCTTACGGCAGTCCTTAGCAGTATGATACAATTCACCACAGTTGAAACATTTAGTATAGCAGTCCTTGGTTGCATGCGATTTGAGTTTGCATTTATTGCATCTTGTCTCCTGATTGGAACTTCCCTGTGAAGATTTCCCTTGAGACTTCTTGCTGATCTGTACCTTATGTACAGTTTGCTGGGAGTTTTTAATCATTGCAGCCTCTGATTTAGATCTGTCCATTGCCACCACTTTTCTATACGCTCTCTCTAGTGTCAGTTGTTCGAAATCCTCCTCCAATAGCAACTCCTGTGCTTCTGAGTTAACAATTCCCATTATAAATTGATCTAACATTGAACTGCCGAAGTCTGTAAACTTGCATTTGACTGCCAGTTTTTTTAACCTCGCAACAAAGTCTGCTGTTTTCTCCGACTGCTTTTGGTGGCATTTGTAGAATCTGAATCGCTCTGCCAAAACAGTCGGTTTCGGGACCATGTGATTTATGAGAATTGTCTTCATCTCGAAATATGTAAGTTCGTTGACGTCATTTGGAGATGCTAAAGACGTAAGTAGGGAAAAGATTTCTGGATCAATGCTCGTTAAGAAGTGAGGTTTGATCGTTTGACATAGCTGATTATATTCCGCTAACAGTTGTGCATGCGCGGTTCGTTGCGCTTCATTCGGATTCTCTACTAACGGTTCCGGTTCAACCGGATAGGATTTTTGGGACTTGAGAAACCATGTGTACTGCTCGAACCAGTCTTCCGGCGCGCTGACTGTAGCGGTCAGAGGATAGGGGTAGGATTTTGTCATACTCGTCGCCAATTGTAATAGCTCGCTTAGCTTGAACAATGGATACACATAGCTGTTACTCTAATCAGAGGCTGAAGATAATATCATTAATAATACATAACATAAATAATACATAACACAAACCTTTATAGTGAAGGAATACACTCAATGGCTTTATGTCTCCAAGGACTGACATTGTAAAGAATGCAGTCGACCTTTCAAAAACGGCCTTTACTTTTGAAATTGTTGCTTGAGCTGACTTGATGCATATCATGTCACATGTTTGCTGTTGACCCGAAAGGAAAATAACTGCTCTGTAGTCTGGAAAAATAAAAATAAAATTGACAAATTCAAATATAAAAACTGATCTTTTAATTTAAGTTTGCATTCTGGGTTAAAACTTTATTAGCTTATAAAGATATTTTATTTAATGTTCGATATAATCAAATAGGTTAAGTGCCTGTGTGCTGTGTAGATACAACGTACATAGTAAACAATAAAATGATACTAATTTAATTATACCTAACATCCTAAAATTAAATTATTGAAGAACCTATCGCCAATCGCATTTATATACCTGTAACATCGTTAGAAGTCAATCTCTGAATGAAGAGTTTGGTAGACATCACACCTTTATCATCGATTGGAGAGATAAGTGTACGGTACTGCCACTGGTGATCCGATGGAAGACTTTCCCAATTTATTGACCCTCCATCTAGTAGTAATTATTAAAGTTTTTCAGTTTTGATCATTCAAAAAGTATTATCATTCAAAAATTACTAACATATAACTACGAACATAATTACTAATGTTGACTTAGATAACGCTTACTTACTTCTTTTCTGCCATGTGATCCTGACGTCAGATAAGTCTCTGGCAGTGAAATAAGTTGTCAAAATAGCTGGTCGTCCCACCGTTGCCAAAACTGGTGTTATGACAACTGCTTCACCTAAACGATAAGAAAGTTTGCAAATGATATCTCAGAAAAAAGACATCTATAAGTATTACTCGAATCCTTTATATTGTATCAATAATAGTATTCATAATATCATTAATAATGCAAATCAATATATTATTTAGTTCGTTATCCGAATCTTTCGTTGATTATGGAACACAATATTGCCGTAAGAATGCAGGGAAATAATCGGAGACCGAGTGTGAAAGTGTAGAAAATTAAATTTTTGATGGAAATATCGAGTGGTAATCATTTTTAGGACGTTGTGTCATTTTCCAAAACATTAGGTAAAAAAGTTCAAAATAATGTAGTGTTGTAGGAACACGGAAATACTTGCCGAGTAACGAGAATTTCACTGTAACTGTAAGAGATTCTTGGACTGAATTCTGGATCCGAACGGAGTAATCACAAGTACCATGTTGTGAAACTAAATCATCTTTTGAGCCTGCTTCCATCATAGAATCAGAACTGAAAATAATTGAATCAATGATTTGATCACCCCTCCTACCCTCCTCCCCCTTCCCTATAAGATAATCAGGGAGGAATAATGCATCACATTAACCCCTACTTCATCAGCCCTAAATCTACTTACGTTAATTGTGTCCGTAAAAACGAAAGTAGGATGGAAGCTATTTTGTTTACTGACAAATAATTTTAATCTTAACTTTTACTTTCTAAAGATGTTCTAACCTGCGAATGTGATAAACTTCGGTGAAGATTACCCCATCGGCTGAGATTTTTGAATCTGTCGATTTACTAACAGAGTTGACCTGAGATATCGATAGTTAGAATTCAGTGTTATGTCTAGAACCTACGATCTTCACGAATGGTAGAACAAATGAAGCATGCCAGAAAATTTGTTTGAAATAATCAATTCTCACTCACAAGATCAAGAGTGCAATCCAAATTCCTTGACAGCGGTGCTGAAGGTGCATGAGTTATGAAAGTCACCAAAGCTCCTGTATCTGGAGTCAGGACTATTAAATCGAGGTCACTGTCTATCCTTATTTCGTTCAGATGACTCATTGGTGTATCAACGATTTGTCCTGGGTTCAAGAGTTTTTTTAGTTAACAAAACTTTGAGGTTCTGCGTAGAGGTCATAAATCTTTAACTGACATGTTTCCACTTTAAAATGCTTTTATTTTTAATGAACTAATTTTAAAGGAAGCCTGTCTGAGAATTTCTTTCTTTACCTGAGCTGTACTGGGCCCGACAATAAAGATTTCCAACAGCTGCTGTGGAGTGAGCAACTATGATTTTCCACTGGACCGTTGTAGTGCCATAAACTTTCTCCTTCATTTTGAAGATGATAACATCATGGTGCTTATTATAGGTAAAACCTTTATCGTTTACAAACTTGCTATCCAACTTCCACCTTCGTGTTTTGACATTTTTAGTAAACATCGTATTATGATTTACCAGGACATTTAATTTGGATAGAAGTGAAATATAGATATATCTATCATGAAATTCTGGTAACCAGCATGAAAACAAGCCACAATGTTTGGTCCATAATTTGTAAATGAGATTATTATGACTCACAAAATATTTTCCAATTAACTCTTCAGGCTGTCTAAGGCCTAAGCTCATAGCATAAACTTACCGCAAATTATTCAAAATAGAATTAGTCATGTTAAATGGTACGGAACAGGTGACTTCTGATTCAGTCCCTGAAATGCCCCACACAGAATTGGGATATTGAGTCCCACTGACATTCACTCCAATCAAAATCACTTGGTTGCTCTGTAGAATTCGCTCTGCGATATGTCAGTGTTATTCACGGATATGTAAACAAATGAAAATCTCTATTTTCAGTGAAATAATGTTTATACCATATAATTGCTGCACTCTGCAAAAACAGAATAGTATATAATAGACAAAATTAAGCTTACTGCTCGATGTTTCTGTGTAAAAGGATCTCCAGGCCCCAGCTGTAGAGTTGCTTACAATGATGCTGATTACGGAGGTCTTTGGGGAGTTGATAATATCCCTATGAGGAAAACATTTGAACAATGTTTGTAGTTAAATTCAAATCGGTTTATTTGTTAATTGATAGATATGGGTTAACAACTATTTCAGTACAGCAAAACCCGCGGTAAAATAAAAATACCTGCAAGTTTTCGTCAAACACAGAGAGTCATTGTGCTTCCACCAAAAGTGTCCTTCAGCAAACGAGGAGAAGAAATAAGAAGATTTCAGGTTGACTGTTGCTCCGTTGAAAGCTCTTATCTCTTGTTCTGGTGTCAGCGCTAAACCTGTTGGTGGATGCTATTACATATATTGAAACTCATGAGATGTTCACACAATGTGCACTACCTAGTCGGTTTTAAAATGTACGGTCACAATAAAAAGTAAACACGCTCACGAACAAAGAGTGCATAAATTTGATCATGCAAATTCATAGCTCACAATTTAAACCGTTCAGATAATTTTCAATAAAATATCCTTTATACTCTTACTTGTCAAATAAATCATTTTTGAAATCGATAGTGAATTCAACCGACTTATTTAAATCATTCTACGCCTCGACTGAAACTAATAACAAAAAAAGGATGCAAAGTCTCTTTGATTTGTAAGCTTGTTTCGAAATTAGGATGAAATATTATAATCTGTTGATTTAGATTACCATCGGTTTCTATTTCAACTTCCGAGTAAAAGTTATACTCTTGACCATGGGCGAAGACTATGCAAGTGTAAGAAGCAACTTCGTTGGGAGGGTCTAATCGTAAAATTGTTGTTGTTGTACTATTTTGTAAGGTTTCTTTTCTTGTCTCTGCAAAAAAAGTTAAAATGTTATATACGATATAATATTGATATCAATATTTACATAAGGGGGCACCAAGCTCAAAGTAGTGTTTCATAGAGTTACACAAAAACTTGGAATTTAACCTTCAAATATAGTATGTTGGTGTGACCAAGCAACTATCAATGTGTCGGTAGGAAAGATCACAGTGCACTTCAATACTGCTGGGTCTCCTGTTCTAACAAAATCATCTGTTGTACTGAAATAAGAAGTTGAATTCAATGGAAATTTAGGAAAATTTGAGTAGTTCAAAATGTAATACAACGATATGAATATGATTGGTTGAATGGAGATTTCGGTTTAAGAAGGTATTATTTAATTCTACGAATTCTTTTATTTGCGCAATATCAAATAAGATTTTTGAACTACATTATTAAACGTACCGAACTGTGAAGGTTTTGAGAGCCACCAAGGTATCATCATATTGATTTTTTTCTCCTACTGAAATCCTACATGTGAATAGTTTATCGCCTAACAAAGTCACATCAGCTAAAAGGATCATAGTCGACTCCTTCATCCCATCCATTAGTGCTCCATCACTGATAAATTGAAGGAGTCAGTAATCCAACAACATCTACAGTTTGCAACAAGTTATAAAATAGCAATACATCATATATTTGTATTAGGATCTCAAATCTTCTATCATTTCAGTAATCGGTATATTTCAGTGATATAAAAGATTACCTGACAGTCAAGTCAGAAATGTCTGAATCATGAGAGAAAAGTGTTCCTTTATTGTCCACCCACTGAATATGTATCAAATTGGTAGCTACTCCTTTTATTGAACAAGTCAACGTTGATGCAGTACCTGCTAGCACGTCATAGCTTTTCACCATTATCTCTGAAATTAGTACATCCAAAATATATAAAAATTTGCAGTTATTTAAAATACTACAATTTATGATTTATAATCCACGATGAATTTTTGCTGCAAGATTCCAATTCGTCCTTAAATCAATAACTGTATTGCAAAATGAGTAATGACACTGTTTGGCATTTCTTACACACAGTAAGCACACTCACAAATATGGCAGTGAGTATCCCAGCTGCATATAATGCAGTGTACTAATTATAGCAGCAGATATGAGATAACAACACGATTGCTTACTGATAGGCGTGCAAGAAATTCCTGAGCTGAATAGGGCCGGTAGCTCAATTGGTAGAGCACCAGGCATGTTACTCGGAGGTTGGCGGATCATACCCGCCCCGGCACTATATGCCGGCCCATGATTTTCCGAATCGCTTACCAGTGGAAATCTAGTCAATTCAAATATCTGCTTGCTTGGTACTCATGGTCGATACAATCACAGCCCAACCAACTACTTGATCAGACCGATTCACCTTCATGTGCATACTTCATCTGGGAGCCGTCAGTTGAGCTTGCTCTCTGACTCGTGGGTTAAAAACATCGTGTACAGTAGTTCGTGAGTAGTACAGTACTTCACAACGATAACCCGCCTCCCCAACCAAATCTCTTAAATTAAGAACATACCATAAACGTTTAGAGTGACGGTGGTATCCGAGTGGCTGGAATTAGGTAAAGAACCGGAAGTTACTCTACAAGTGTAGGCAGTATCTTCGTTGACAAGAGTTCCGTCTACAGCAAGAGTTGATGTCTGTGTCCCTGCAGAGTAACTTCCTTGGACAGGGGTGAACTTTTCACCTGGAACTGGTCCCGTACTAGTTCGCCAGGTTACTGTTGCTGCGTCAATAATTCCAGTGATAACACAGGATATCGATGTGCTAGAACCTTTCTTTACTTCTTTGTTAACTGGTTCAACGTCTGAAGTAAGTATTGGTAAATGTATGTATATTTAATACAGATTGTGCAATTTATAACTTTATAACGCTCGCATGATATAAATATGGTTTTGTTCTGATAATGACATAAATTGAAATTGGTTGTAAGTTCGAAAATCGTTTGGAAACAAAAAATGTAACGGGTGATATTCGAAAAATATTTGTTCCGAATATTAGACCGTCGACGAGTCCTACTCAGCGCGCGTTTTGGTAGGTTATAAACCTACTAAAAAATAAATCTGCATCGCAAAATAAATTCAGTTGGAGATTAAAGAACATACCATAAACGTTAAGATTGACGGTGGTATCTGAGTGGCTGGAATCAGGTAAAGAACCGGAAGTTATTCTGCAAGTGTAGGCAGTATCTTCATTGACAAGGGTCCCGTCTACAGCAAGAGTTGATGTCTGTGTCCCTCCGGAGAAGCTTCCTTGGACAGGGGTGAACTTTTCAGCTGGAACTGGTCCTGTACTTGTTCGCCAGGTTACTGTTGCTGTTTCAGTTATTCCGATGATAACACAGGATATCAATGTGCCAGAACCTTTCTTTACTTCTTTGTTAACTGGTTCAACGTCTGAAGTAAGTATTGGTAAATGTATATTTACAAATTTATAACTCTCGCATAATATAAATATGTTTTTGTTCTGATAATGACATCAATTGAAAATTTGTTGTAAGACAAAAAATCGTATGGATACAAAAATTTGCCTTGCAAAATAACTTCACTTTCAGTTATGGAGGTTAAAGAACATACCATAAACGTTTAGATTGACAATGGTATCAGAGAAGTTGGAATCAGGTAAAGATCCGGAAGTGACTCTGCAAGTGTAGGCAGTATCTTCGTTGACAAACGTTCCGTCTACAGCAAGAGTTGATGTCTGTGTCCCTGCAGAGTTACTTCCTTGGATAGGGACGAACTTTTCAACTGGAACTGGTCCTGTACTAGTTCGCCAGGTCACTGCTGCTGTTTCTGTTATGCCAGTGATGATACAAGAAATCGTTGCGTAAGAGCCTTTCTTCACTTCTGTGTTAACTGATTCAACATCTGAAGTGAGTTTAGATACGTTTACAAATTCTACAAATTCTAAAAATTCTACAATTTATATACAACGGGTTATCAAATAAATTCCTTTTACTGATGTGAATTAAAATATGGAGGAAGGATAGAAATTCGTTCATGAATCGAAAGATGGATTGCAAAATTACTGCATTAGCGTTTAAAGAACATACCATAAACGTTCAGATTGACAGTGGTATCAGAGAAGTTGGAATCAGGTAAAGATCCGGAAGTGACTCTGCAAGTGTAGGCAGTATCTTCGTTGACGAGAGTTCCGTCTACAGCAAGAGTTGATGTCTGTGTCCCTGCAGAGTTACTTCCTTGGACAGGAGTGAGCTTTTCAGCTGGAACTGGTCCTGTACTAGTTCGCCAGGTCACTGTTGCTGTTTCTGTTATGCCAGTGATGATACACGAAATCGTTGCGTAAGAGCCTTTCTTCACTTCTGTGTTAACTGATTCAACGTCTGAAATGAGTTTTGGGACATTTACAAATTCGACAAATTCTACAATTTATAACCGACGGATCATCAAATCAATTCCTTGTAAACTGATGTAAATTGGAATATGGAGAAAGGATAAAAATTCGTTCATGAATCGAAAAATGGATTGCAAAATTACTGCATTAGCGTTTAAAGAACATACCATAAACGTTCAGATTGACAGTGGTATCAGTGAAGTTGGAATCAGGTAAAGATCCGGAAGTAACTCTGCAAGTGTAGGCAGTATCTTCGTTGACGAGAGTTCCGTCTACAGCAAGAGTTGATGTCTGTGTCCCTGCAGAGTTACTTCCTTGGACAGGAGTGAACTTTTCAGCTGGAACTGGTCCTGTACTAGTTCGCCAGGTCACTGCTGCTGTTTCTGTTATGCCAGTGATGATACAAGAAATCGTTGTGTAAGAGCCTTTCTTCACTTCTGTGTTAACTGATTCAACGTCTGAAATGAGTTTTGGTACATTTACAAATTCTACAATTTATAACCGACAGATCACGAAATCATTTTCTTGTACTGATGTGAATTGGAATATGGAGGAAATAGGAATGATAGAAATTCGTTCATGAATCGAAAAATAGATTGTGCAATTTATACTGCATTAGCGTTTGAAGAACATACCATAAACGTTCAGATTGACAGTGGTATCAGAGAAGTTGGAATCAGGTAAAGATCCCGAAGTGACTCTGCAAGTGTAGGCAGTATCTTCGTTGACGAGAGTTCCGTCTACAGCAAGAGTTGATGTCTGTGTCCCTGCAGAGTTACTTCCTTGGACAGAGGTGAAATTTTCAGCTCGAACTGGTCCTGTACTAGTTCGCCAGGTCACTGCTGCTGTTTCTGTTATGCTTGTGATTATACAAGAAATCGTTGCGTAAGAGCCTTTCTTCACTTCTGTGTTAACTGATTCAACGTCTGAAATGAGTTTTGGTACATTTACAAATTCGATAAATTCTACAATTTATAACCGACGGATCATCAAATCAATTCCTTGTAAACTGATGTAAATTGGAATATGGAGAAAGGATAAAAATTCGTTCATGAATCGAAAAATGGATTGCAAAATTACTGCATTAGCGTTTAAAGAACATACCATAAACGTTCAGATTGACAGTGGTATCAGAGAAGTTGGAATCAGGTAAAGATCCGGAAGTGACTCTGCAAGTGTAGGCAGTATCTTCGTTGACGAGAGTTCCGTCTACAGCAAGAGTTGATGTCTGTGTCCCTGCAGAGTTACTTCCTTGGATAGAGGTGAAATTTTCAGCTGGAACTGGTCCTGTACTAGTTCGCCAGGTCACTGCTGCTGTTTCTTTTATGCCAGTGATGATACAAGAAATCGTTGTGTAAGAGCCTTTCTTCACTTCTGTGTTAACTGATTCAACGTCTGAAATGAGTTTTGGTACATTTACAAATTCTACAATTTATAACCGACAGATCACGAAATCATTTTCTTGTACTGATGTGAATTGGAATATGGAGGAAATAGGAATGATAGAAATTCGTTCATGAATCGAAAAATAGATTGTGCAATTTATACTGCATTAGCGTTTGAAGAACATACCATAAACGTTCAGATTGACAGTGGTATCAGAGAAGTTGGAATCAGGTAAAGATCCCGAAGTGACTCTGCAAGTGTAGGCAGTATCTTCGTTGACGAGAGTTCCGTCTACAGCAAGAGTTGATGTCTGTGTCCCTGCAGAGTTACTTCCTTGGACAGAGGTGAAATTTTCAGCTCGAACTGGTCCTGTACTAGTTCGCCAGGTCACTGCTGCTGTTTCTGTTATGCTTGTGATTATACAAGAAATCGTTGCGTAAGAGCCTTCCTTCACTTCTGTGTTAACTGATTCAACGTCTGAAATGAGTTTTGGTACATTTACTAATTTGACAAATTCTACAATTTATAACCGACAGATCACGAAATCATTTTCTTGTACTGATGTAAATTGGAATATGGAGGAATGATAGAAATTCGTTCATGAATCGAAAAATGGATTGTGCAATTTATACTGCATTAGCGTTTGAAGAACATACCATAAACGTTCAGATTGACAGTGGTATCAGAGAAGTTGGAATCAGGTAAAGATCCCGAAGTGACTCTGCAAGTGTAGGCAGTATCTTTGTTGACGAGAGTTCCGTCTACAGCAAGAGTTGATGTCTGTGTCCCTGCAGAGTTACTTCCTTGGACAGAGGTGAACTTTTCAGCTGGAACTGGTCCTGTACTAGTTCGCCAGGTCACTGCTGCTGTTTCTGTTATGCCAGTGATGATACACGAAATCGTTGCGTAAGAGCCTTTCTTCACTTCTGTGTTAACTGATTCAACGTCTGAAATGAGTTTTGGTACATTTACAAATTCGATAAATTCTACAATTTATAACCGACGGATCATCAAATCAATTCCTTGTAAACTGATGTAAATTGGAATATGGAGAAAGGATAAAAATTCGTTCATGAATCGAAAAATGGATTGCAAAATTACTGCATTAGCGTTTAAAGAACATACCATAAACGTTCAGATTGACAGTGGTATCAGAGAAGTTGGAATCAGGTAAAGATCCGGAAGTGACTCTGCAAGTGTAGGCAGTATCTTCGTTGACGAGAGTTCCGTCTACAGCAAGAGTTGATGTCTGTGTCCCTGCAGAGTTACTTCCTTGGATAGAGGTGAAATTTTCAGCTGGAACTGGTCCTGTACTAGTTCGCCAGGTCACTGCTGCTGTTTCTTTTATGCCAGTGATGATACAAGAAATCGTTGTGTAAGAGCCTTTCTTCACTTCTGTGTTAACTGATTCAACGTCTGAAATGAGTTTTGGTACATTTACAAATTCTACAATTTATAACCGACAGATCACGAAATCATTTTCTTGTACTGATGTGAATTGGAATATGGAGGAAATAGGAATGATAGAAATTCGTTCATGAATCGAAAAATAGATTGTGCAATTTATACTGCATTAGCGTTTGAAGAACATACCATAAACGTTCAGATTGACAGTGGTATCAGAGAAGTTGGAATCAGGTAAAGATCCCGAAGTGACTCTGCAAGTGTAGGCAGTATCTTCGTTGACGAGAGTTCCGTCTACAGCAAGAGTTGATGTCTGTGTCCCTGCAGAGTTACTTCCTTGGACAGAGGTGAAATTTTCAGCTCGAACTGGTCCTGTACTAGTTCGCCAGGTCACTGCTGCTGTTTCTGTTATGCTTGTGATTATACAAGAAATCGTTGCGTAAGAGCCTTCCTTCACTTCTGTGTTAACTGATTCAACGTCTGAAATGAGTTTTGGTACATTTACTAATTTGACAAATTCTACAATTTATAACCGACGGATCATCAAATCAATTCCTTGTAAACTGATGTAAATTGGAATATGGAGGAAGGATAGAAATTCGTTCATGAATCGAAAAATAGATTGTGCAATTTATACTGCATTAGCGTTTGAAGAACATACCATAAACGTTCAGATTGACAGTGGTATCAGAGAAGTTGGAATCAGGTAAAGATCCGGAAGTAACTCTGCAAGTGTAGGCAGTATCTTCGTTGACGAGAGTTCCGTCTACAGCAAGAGTTGATGTCTGTGTCCCTGCAGAGTTACTTCCTTGGACAGAGGTGAACTTTTCAGCTGGAACTGGTCCTGTACTAGTTCGCCAGGTCACTGTTGCTGTTTCTGTTATGCCAGTGATGATACACGAAATCGTTGCGTAAGAGCCTTTCTTCACTTCTGTGTTAACTGATTCAACGTCTGAAATGAGTTTTGGTACATTTACAAATTCGACAAATTCTACAATTTATAACCGACGGATCATCAAATCAATTCCTTGTAAACTGATGTAAATTGGAATATGGAAAAATGATAAAAATTCGTTCATGAATCGAAAAATGGATTGCAAAATTACTGCATTAGCGTTTAAAGAACATACCATAAACGTTCAGATTGACAGTGGTATCAGAGAAGTTGGAATCAGGTAAAGATCCGGAAGTGACTCTGCAAGTGTAGGCAGTATCTTCGTTGACGAGAGTTCCGTCTACAGCAAGAGTTGATGTCTGTGTCCCTGCAGAGTTACTTCCTTGGACAGGAGTGAACTTTTCAGCTGGAACTGGTCCTGTACTAGTTCGCCAGGTCACTGCTGCTGTTTGTGTTATGCCAGTGATGATACAAGAAATCGTTGTGTAAGAGCCTTTCTTCACTTCTGTGTTAACTGATTCAACGTCTGAAATGAGTTTACTAGTTTAGGTACATATTTTACAAATTCTACAATTTATAACCAACGAATCATCAAATTAATTCCTTTTACTGATGTGAATTAAAATATGGAGGAAGGTTAGAAATTCGTTCACGAATCGAAAAATGGATTGCAAAATGACTGCATTATCATTTAGAGAACATACCATAAACATTAAGATTGACAGTGGTATCAGAGAAGTTGGAATCAGGTAAAGATCCGGAAGTGACTCTGCAAGTGTAGGCAGTATCTTTGTTGACGAGAGTTCCGTCTACAGCTAGAGTTGATGTCTGTGTCCCTGCAGAGTTACTTCCTTGGACAGGAGTGAACTTTTCAGCTGAAACTGGTCCTGTACTAGTTCGCCAGGTCACTGCTGCTGTTTCTCTTATGCCAGTGATGATACAAGAAATCGTTGCGTAAGAGCCTTTCTTCACTTCTGTGTTTACTGATTCAACGTCTGAAATGAGTTTTGGTACATTTACAAATTCGACAAATTCTACAATTTATAACCGACGGATCATCAAATCAATTCCTTGTATACTGATGTAAATTGGAATATAGAGGAAGGATAGAAATTCGTTCATGAATCGAAAAATGGATTCCAAAATTACTGCATTAGCGTTTGAAGTACATACCATAAACATTAAGATTGACAGTGGTATCAGAGAAGTTGGAATCAGGTAAAGATCCGGAAGTGACTTTGCAAGTGTAGGCAGTATCTTCGTTGACGAGAGTTCCGTCTACAGCCAGAGTTGATGTCTGTGTCCCTGCAAAGTTACTTCCTTGGACAGGAGTGAAATTTTCAGCTGAAACTGGTCCTGTACTAGTTCGCCAGGTCACTGCTGCTGTTTCTGTTATGCCAGTGATGATACAAGAAATCGATGCGTAAGAGCCTTTCTTCACTTCTGTGTTAACTGATTCAACGTCTGAAATGAGTTTTGGTACATTTACAAATTCTACAATTTATAACCGACGGATCATGAAATCATTTTCTTGTACTGATGTGAATTGGAATTTGGAGGAATGATAGAAATTTGTTCATGAATCGAAAAATAGATTGTAAGATTTATACTGCATTAGCGTTAGAAGAACATACCATAAACGTTTAGATTGACAGTGGTATCAGAGAAGTTGGAATCAGGTAAAGATCCGGAAGTGACTCTGCAAGTGTAGGCAGTATCTTCGTTGATAAGAGTTCCGTCTACAGCAAGAGTTGATGTCTGTGTCCCTGCAGAGTTACTTCCTTGGACAGGAGTGAACTTTTCAGCTGGAACTGGTCCTGTACTAGTTCGCCAGGTCACTGCTGCTGTTTCTCTTATGCCAGTGATGATACAAGAAATCGTTGTGTAAGAGCCTTTCTTCACTTCTGTGTTAACTGATTCGACGTCTGAAATGAGTTTTGGTACATTTACAAATTCCACAAATTCTACAATTGATAACCAACGGATCATCAAATCAATTCCTTGTATACTGATGTAAATTGGAATATGGAGGAATGATAGAAATTCGTTCATGAATCGAAAAATAGATTGTAAGATTTATACTGCATTAGCTTTTGAAGAACTTACCATAAACGTTCAGATTGACAGTGGTATCAGAGAAGTTGGAGTCAGGTAAAGATCCGGAAGTGACTCTGCAAGTGTAGGCAGTATCTTCGTTGACAAGAGTTCCGTCTACAGCAAGAGTTGATGTCTGTGTCCCTGCAGAGTTACTTCCTTGGACAGGAATGAACTTTTCAGCTGGAACTGGTCCTGTATTAGTTTGCCAGGTCACTGTTGCTGTTTCTGTTATGCCAGTGATGATACAAGAAATCGTTGCGTAAGAGCCTTTCTTCACTTCTGTGTTAACTGATTCAACGTCTGAAATGAGTTTACTAGTTTAGGTACATTTACAAATTTTACAATTTATAACCAACGAATAACCAAATTAATTCCTTTTACTGATGTGAATTAAAATATGGAGAAAGGTAAGAAATTCGTTCACGAATCAAAAAATAGATTGCACAATTACTGTTAGCGTTTAAAGAACATACCATAAACATTTAGATTGACACTGGTATCGTAGAAGATGGAATCAGGTAAAGATCCGGAAGTGACTCTGCAAGTGTAGGTAGTATATTCGTTGACAAGAGTTCCGTCTACAGCAAGAGTTGATGTCTGTGTCCCTGCAGAGTGGCTTCCTTGGACAGGGGTGAACTTTTCAGCTGGAACTGGTCCTCTACCTATTCGCCAGGTCACTGTTGCTGTTTCTGTTATGCCAGTGATGATACACGAAATCGTTGCATAAGAGCCTTTCTTCACTTCTGTGTTAACTGATTCAACGTCTGAAGTGAGTTTTGGTACATTTACAAATTCTACAATTTATAACCAACGGATTATCAAAACAAGTCCATTAACTGATTTGAATTAGAATATGGAGATTGTGCAACACCTTCAACCGAAGGAAAAGTAATATATAAGTTATAACTTCACCACGGCTGAACGATAATTGGTAAATGCTATTATAAAGACGGGTGTAATTCAAGAGGATTTTATATAGAAGATGGGGTTATAGCGTTCATTTATGAATCAATTTTGTGCATCAACATCTTATAAACACAATATTTAAAATAATATTTTGTGTTATCTTTTTTATAATCGAAGAAAATAATGGGTAGGAAATGGTCCATGATATAAAATTGTACTTAGACTGATGAGCTCTATATCTCTTCCGATGATAACTATCTCACGTAACCAGACATAGTTAAAATTAGAACCCTCTCTAATAACAACTGTGTCTCCAATCTTACAATCGGAAGGAACGTTGTCAGGTACTGTTCCATCCTCAGAGTACACTGACACGGGCCACCAAGTGGGATGTTTAGTGCCGTAGTAACCACTTATACAGGTACACACATCTCTCGAGCATGTGTGCTTGTTATACGGGTTAATGTGATAATTAGACTCCGTGTAATGGTGCACCTCCTCTACACAGTAGGTCTTTTCTAGCTTAGCTTTAAACCAGGGGTCAGATTCATATGTTGTATGAGCGAATGTGTCTAAATCCTTGTCTATGCCATAAGTTGCCAAATAGTAATCCCAATAATAACTACTAGAGCTATGATATCTATACGTTGATGACATAGAGACGGATACAGGTTTTATCTCGTTATCTACTGCAGATAAAATGTAACCTGAAATATAACCACGATAAATAGTGTTTTAGCACTTAGTAATAATACTTGCAGTTTCTATAATTATAGCTATAATTGATGTGATTGTCACATATATCCTATTAATTCTGGTCGATATCATATGCAAACAGTCAGTAGAAATGACTTAGAACAGTAAATAGTGATTTTTGTTGTAAGGTGGTGCAATACAACATTTACCTTGAATGGGTAAAAACAAAAGAGCCGTTAAGATAATTGTTGTTATCTTCATGATTGGCTGGTCGCTACATAAACATTTTTACTGAAATATTCAGATCAGCCAATTGCTTTAAGTTGAACGTTTGCACAATTTAAAAAAATCCAACTGAAACGTTACAAAATGCTAAGAATCTTAGTCAGATTTATAAGTTTGAGACGGACGAGTATAAATTCCTTTGATATTCTAAATGATGATATCGAGTTAAAGTCAGAATAATTTGATAAAGCGATGGTTACTCTGCAAGTTCCTAAAATACGTTGCAACTAAAGTAGTTAAAAGACGCGATCTAGGCAATACTTTTCTGCGAGATTCTAAAATAAAACCTTCTTCGTGTATTACGACAAAAAATAATAATTTCGCATTTCTGAACATGTCATCAGAGAATTAAATCTACGTCACCACCGTAAAAATGTAAAAGTTAAGTTCACTAAAATTCCATGTGGATGACAATGTTTATTTTATCTTACTGCTCATTGTTTCACGTTGACGGCTTCAACGAGAGTAGTTATTGTAAGTTATTACCAAGTATCGACGAGGATAGTTTTTAATTGTGTAATATTCTCAGGAATCGTTTAAGTTTGATGACACGATATATGATTACATATATATGATTACATATATACAAAATAGTTTATAAACTATTTTGTTTGAAGATGACGTTTGGCCAATTTGTAACAAGCCTGAGTGTTCATATAACTAGTAATTTAGTAAGTAAAATATACTAAGAACGTCCGGGAGGGGGGTCTTCAAAATTTGGGGGGAGGGGGGCTTCAAAATTAGGGGGTCTTCAAAATTAGGGGAGGGGGGGTCTGAAAATCCGGGATATTGGCGGACGTCCTCAGTAGATGTCCTCTAAACGGATATGGATTGAACAAATACCCATGTAACTAGACCTCTTCACTGTTTTAATGATATAAATGGCATGAAATATTTTGCAGCACAAACTGCTCCCTGCATACAATTACAAATTGAAGCGAAATTTGATTGTATCAGTACAATAAACCTTTTTTACCCGAACACGCCTTTGGAAAATCGAAATACTACTCATTTGTAATATAGCACTACAAATTATTTGAGCTGTTAGCACATAAAAATACCTTATCGGACCCTATTTGGCCGGACATTAAATGAACAGACATAATTATGAACGAAAATTAAAATGAACCAATTTTTTCATCTTTTTTTGTGGCGTTTTTAAAATTTTAGCAGATAATATGTAAATTAATTTTTCATACAATGAGCAAGAAAGGCAGTCGTTAAGCAGTAAAAAATGTAGAAATATCTGTAGATCTGTGTCTATGATAAATGATTATGAAAGTTGTGTAAAAACAACAGATACGAAATAATACCAGATTTGATGATCATATCACAGGTCATCTTCCTCAAATGGGTTATTGTGCATATATGCATTCCATGGAATATATATATTCCATGCTTAAAGCATCATATGAGTAATACCTGGTTTTTGAAAACAATTTTCTATTTGACCACCTCGGTCCTGCATTTCAGTGTAAACTTTTACAAGATGTGGAGGTAAATAATAACTCTGAGGAAGTAAACGAGGAAGCCAAAGATCAAGAAAGTGATCATGACGTAATGTGATACTTAGGATATTTAAATTGCATAATAACTCGTTTTTCATTGATCCAATTCCAATGATATAGTTTAGTCCGAATCCGATGATAGAAATTACAATTGACTGAAATTAAAAAATTTTCATCTCCTAAACATGAGTTCGCAGTGGAATAATTTTGGAAAAAATCTCAACGGACTTTAAGTTTAACTTGGACTAACCTTAAACGGACGGACTTTATTTGAACAGACATTAAGATGAACGCTAGGACCTCCAGCGTTTAATTAATGTCCGTTCAAATAAGGTCCGATAAGGTAGTTAGACAGTAAGGCTAGATAAAAGATAATATTTAAACATGAACAGATTCAGATCTTGAAGACTCACAATGCTTTTAATATTGTACTTTGCTCTTTTAACTAACTCTTTTACATTGAATGTTGTATCTAGCAGCTCCTCAACTTATACCGCTAAACTCACAGTCTCAAAGTAGCTGCACAGAACAGAGGCACATATTAGGTGCGGTAAAAAAATCGAAATTATGCGGTACCGCACCCGACTATAAAGGTAAAATGTGCGGTAAGGTGCGGTAAATTTTTACCAATTATGCGGCAAATGTGCGGCGATTTTTTCGAAATTTGTGCGGGAATTGTGCGGTTTTCTTTTGCATTTTCTCAAGGACTTTGGAAATTCTAAACGTAAATCCTAAACCGCCGCTCTTATCAAAAATAGGTCTGTTTATGTGTTACTGAGGGTATAGTTCTTCACTAAGACCATGATTGAACCTATATTGAGATTTAGTTATCTGAGAACAGCCTGGGTCACGGTCCCGAAAGGGCCTGGGTCACGGTCCCAAAAGGGCCTGGGTCACGGTCCCGAAAGGGCCTGGGTCACGGTCCCGAAAGGGCCTGGGTAACGGTCCCGAAAGGACCTGGGTCACGGTCCCGAAAGGGCCTGGGTCACGTGGTAACTGGGTCACGTGGCCTAGGTATGAGTTCCAAAAGGGCCTGGCTCACGGTCCCGAAAAGGCCTGGGTCAGGGTCCCGAAAGGGCCAGGGTCACGTGGTAACTGGGTCACGTGGCCTAGGTATAAGTTCCAGAAGGGCCTGGGTCACGGTCCCAAAATGGCCTGGGTCACGGTCCCGAAAGGGCCTGGGTAACGGTCCCGAAAGGACCTGGGTCACGGTCCCGAAAGGGCCTGGGTCACGTGGTAACTGGGTCACGTGGCCTAGGTATGAGTTCCAAAAGGGCCTGGCTCACGGTCCCGAAAAGGCCTGGGTCAGGGTCCCGAAAGGGCCTGGGTCACGTGGTAACTGGGTCACGTGGCCTAGGTATAAGTTCCAGAAGGGCCTGGGTCACGGTCCCGAAAGGGCCTGGGTCAGGGTCCCGAAAGGGCCTGGGTCACGTGGTAACTGGGTCACGTGGCCTAGGTATGAGTTCCAAAAGGGCCTGGCTCACAGTCCCGAAAGGGCCTGGGTCAGGGTCCCGAAAGGGCCTGGGTCACCTGGTAACTGGGTCACGTGGCCTAGGTATAAGTTCCAGAAGGGCCTGGGTCACGGTCCCGAAAGGGCCTGGGTCAGGGTCCCGAAAGGGCCTGAGTCACGGTCCTAAAAGGGCCCCACTTTTAACATATTTTGGTTTTTACACTCTAAAATCTCAACGCGAAAATTTCAAAATCATGCGAAATTACGCGGAAAATGCTAGATTATGCTGAAATATGCAGAAAATGACAAAATGTGCGGAAAACAATAAATTATGCGGAAATGTGCGGAAAACAATAAATTATGCGGAAATGTGCGGAAAACAATAAATTATGCGGAAATGTGCGGAAAAAGGTAAATTGTGCGATCCCGCAACCATCGCACCTAATATGTGCCTCTGAATAGCATTCATTTATGAATAAATTTTGTGCATCAACATCTTATGAACACAATATTTCAAAAAGCTTTTGAGGAAAATAATTGATAGAAATTGGTCTATGATATAAAATTGTACCTAGACTGATAAGCCCTATATCTCTTTCGATGATAACTATCTCATATACATTGACATAGTTATGAGAACCCCCTCTAATAACAACTGTGTCTCCAGTCTTACAATCAAAAGGAACGTTGTCAGGTACTGTTCCATCCTCAGAGTACACTGACACGGGGAACAAAGTGGGATAGTGAGTGTAGTAGTGACCACTTATACAGGTACACACATCTCTCAAGCATGTGTGCTTGTTATACGGGTAAGTGTGATAATCAGACTGCATGTAATGGTGCACTTCCTCTACACAATATGTCTTTCCTAGCTTAGCTTTAAACCAGGGGTCAGATTCACGTGATGTAAGAGCTCGTG